GCCTTGCCAATTCAAATCGATCCTCTTTCTGCTGTTTCACAAAAGCTTATGATATTCATTTTATTTTTCTCATGCAGATTCAACATCCAAGGTCAGACTTGAGTAGGTTTGACTTGGTTGTCACACCTCATCACGATTATTATCCTTTGACTCCTCAAGCACAAGAACAAGTTCCTCAACTTCTTCAGAGGTGGATAACTCCACGTGAACCTCCTGATGAGCATGTGGTATGTATCAAAACATTATATTGCTCTAGTTGGTTGGTAGTAATTAGACTTTTTTTGTTGCCAATCTCTGTTTTTGAAGATGTTAATTAGCAGTTTATAACATGACCATTGAACTTCAGGTTCTTACTGTGGGAGCCTTACATCAAATTGATTTTGCTGCGCTACGCAGTGCAGCGAGTACATGGCATGACGAGTTTGCACCTTTGCCAAAGCCTTTGCTGGTGGTTAACATTGGAGGGCCTTCATGTAAATAGCCATTATACTTTCAATCCACAGTACTCTTTTGTGATTTGACAGTTTTGGTGCAAATTGTCAGTCTCACTTCCATTGTCTGTCTTTTCTTGATATAGTGGTCCGTACATTATTCTACTTTATTTTTTGTTGTATTAATCTCATAGGAGTATTGCCTTTTTGGTCACTACTGCATATATCGATTTTTGTTGTATTCAAACCCTGGGGGAGAAGTGGGGAGAGGGCTGGGAGGAGGTTCAAACCTTGAAAGTCCGCTGTAAAGAGGAACTCTTTCCCACTACACCATGAGTTGATCCTTGAAATTAAATTATGAAATTGTTGTGAGAATCGAAGTTGATTATTGCTGTTGTATTTACATCATGCGGAATCTTCAAAATAACTCAAATACCAAAACTAAACTTGGCTTTGCTATGCGCTGAAGATATGCAATTCCTTGTGAGATTCCATCATATATCTCAGAACACCAGTTATATTGAATCTGTTGTAGGAAATGCAGTTTCTTATTTGTTTATTTATTAATGTTAGCATAACAATAACTGAAACTTTAAAATCAAACATTGTCAAGAGTTTGTGCCCCAATTAAAGAATTAGAAGTTGAAAAGGCATGTTTGATTATTTCTTTTGTTCTGCTCTGCTTGGGTTTGGGTTTATGATTATTTATATGCAGAGAACTTAAAAGTTCCCTGCTCTCTTAGTTCTTGATGTTTCTCATGGACTAAGAATTTAAGACATGATTATATGATGTGGTGCCTAAAATTGTTTAGGTCGCTGTCGTTATGGAACGGACCTAGCGAAGCAGTTATGTACCCTTGTGACTAACGTGCTTGTGAGCTGCGGCAGTGTCAGAATATCTTTCTCAAATAGGACACCTGAGAAGGTATGGCAACTCATTTCTCATAGTTTCTCTTTCCAATACCTGCCACTTATCCCTCAATATATGTGTCTGTCATTCTACCTACAGGTTTCAAACATAATAATCAAAGAACTTGCAAATAATCCAAAAGTTTACATCTGGGATGGTGAAGGTATTGTTGATTGATTTGAAAAATTCAATTCTTACTAGTTAAATTACTAGAGTTCACAATCTTATAAATTTTGCATGTCATAACATTCAGAGCCAAATCCATATATGGGACATTTAGCTTGGGGAGATGCATTTGTTGTCACAGCAGATTCAGTCAGTATGATAAGTGAGGCTTGCAGTACTGGGTATGCATGAAAATTATCTCTATCAACTGCGATGATTTAGAACATAAAAGCTCTGAGATGCCCTGTTTTATTTTGTAAATTCTGATTTAAAACTTCAATACTGTTCTTGTAGGAAACCTGTTTACGTGATGGGATCTGAACGTTGCACATGGAAGTTGGCTGACTTCCATAAATATTTGAGGGAGCGAGGAGTGGTTCGGCCATTTACAGGATCTGAGGATGTAAGTAAATAGTAGAATACTTATTTAAATGATGTACTAATTATCTCCCAGTCCCATATTAGCTGTCGAACATTGTCTTTTCAATTAGTTAAATGCAAATTCATTTATTATTTTTTCTCTAGAAATTTTTTTCAAAATTTTACTTGTGTAAAAATATGATAATACTTCTACTTCATAAAGGTTGTGTTATTAGTCAAAATAACTGAAGGTAAATTTGAATGGTTATTCATCGCCAAACAACTATGAAAGTGCTAAGTGGTTGTTTCTCATAGACTATAGTTGATAGGTTTTGTAATGGCTGTCCTGGACATTTGTTTTGGTTACTTTTTCTTCTTTTTTGAAATTGGTGTTCCCTTTATGCAATGAATAATTAGTGCACTGAATTCTCATCTATATCTTAACCAGTACATGTAGTGATCAAGTTTCTCCTTCACTTAATTACGTAGGTAATCTGTTTGTCTATCTCTTTCAGATTTCAGAAAGCTGGAGCTACCCACCTCTAAATGACACTGCTGAAGTTGCTCGTCGAGTTCATGAAGTGCTTGCTGAAAGAGGATTGAGAGTGCGGCCATAAAACATGTTTATAGTTGTTATTCTTGAAAGATGTTTTTGTTTTGGAAGGGAAGTCGGGAAATTAGGTTTGTTCGATATTACTTTTAGGAATTCCAACTGCAAAGCATTGATAGATGTTAAAATTTGCTTCTTTTCCCTATGGGAGTTTTGGGATATACATGTAAAAAATAAAGGCAAACTCATCTAGTGCGGCTTGTAATATAGGAATAGCATCCTTTCCTTTTGTGCGGCGTTATTTAAAGTCCTTTCAGTTCTGGCACCCATTTTATGTTGTGAAAATAAATTTCCCACTGTAATCTTTGTTTTTCTGAAAGGTGTAAATTGAATAGCATTTGATTTATACAGAGGAAAACCCTCTCTAATGAGATGAATTTCGACCAAGATGTGATTCCTGGGTCTCTTTTTATTTACTTGTAGCAGTAACTTTGTTTCGATTTACCATTCAACTCTCCTCTTTACAGTGAACAAATATGAAAGCGGTTAGGCTCTGCAGCTTCTTTGTTGAATCATGCCTTCTAGTCGTCCAATTCGTTGTTTTGTATGAAGTGGAGCAAGTTAGACTGTGGCAGCCACTCCTTTGCTAATCCATTAACTTGATCTCCTATTTAAGTCGCATCTTTTCCTGGCATATTTTGTCAACAAGCTTTCTCCTGATCACCAGCTACATTTTGCAGTGGTGAAGCAACAAAAATCATTATTCAAGAACCGACGGCGGACACTAAAGGAGAAGGCATTGTGGATGCTCCGGCTCCTACCATAGTTGCAACAAAAGCGGCCCAGCACCAGCGGAAAGAATGGAAAAAAGGCTTGGCTGTCTTCGACTTGGTTCTCAGGCTGGTTTTGCTTCCGCCACTAGCATTATTGGGACAACCGATCAGACTCTTCCTTTTTTCACTCAGTTGTTTCATTTCCATGCCGAGTTTAATGATCTCCCAACTTTCATGCATGCGTGCTCTTCTTACCAGCAACCTGCAGAATTCTCTCGCTAAAGCCTTGACCTCAGCTATCATGATGAAGTAAAACCGAAGTTTAGGGACTAAAGTGAAGATTTACATACATCACAGGGATTGATTAGCTAAACGAACACTGCAAGGTCACAAAGGTTATCAATGTAATTCCAACTTCTTGCCATTGCCTCAACTCAACGATGCAAGGAATATAGCTCAGTCTTGCGCCTTCTCTCTCTCTGACTCGAAAACAGGGAGCAAACTTGACACCACACGCATACGTCAACCATCCATCACTTCTCAGTCTTGTTTACATTAATAATCTGGCAACCCAAAAATGGTCCTCCAATCATGTATACAGAGACTGTTAGGCAATATGGTCATAAGTGTTTTTAAATAATTTTTTATGTTAACATGTATATTAATAATATTTTTTTATTTTTTAAAAATTATATTTAATATCAACACATCAAAATAATTTAAAATATATTAAACATATTAAATTTTAATAAAAGAATTTTAAATTTTTTGGTAACATGCTCATGGTCTCAGTCGAGTCCTTCACAATTTTTTCTTATCTCAATTGGATTCTTAAGGTAACCGTTTGGATTTTTGTAGCATGTACTGGACAGGAATACAGTTTACTTGATCTGACAAAACTGGTTTTTTTTTTTTTTTTTTTTGGGGGGGGGGGTTAAGATTAGTTGATTTTCTCATGGGAGACAGGGCACAAAAATATGTGATATAATAGAAATTATGATCCTTTTTACAAATTGCTTTCATGAACATTCTAAATCTCAATATTATCTAGCTCTATCATCTTTAATATTATTTATGCGTCATTTAGAACTGTGGTTTGAGAGTTTTTTTCCCCTCTAAAAATACATTAATATATTGAATTAATTAAAAAATTAATCAAAATACCAAACACATATTTAGCTTCTCCTTAGTATTCTTTACCATTGTTTTAAAACTCTGCTCATGATAGAGGAGGATTAACTTTAAATTTTTTTAAAAAATAAATAAACAAAAATAATATTATTTTGACCAGCCTATATTGATTTCTATTTTTTAAAAATAAATTAAAATAATGTTATTTGAAAAAAATAAAAAACAAAGTCATAAAAATGATAACCGAGTTTTGATAAGATCAAATTTGGTCAACACGTTGTTAAATTAACCAGATTTTTATGTTCAATATAAACCGGTTTAGGTTTATAATAAATCTATTTAATTAGATTTGAAAACTATATTCTATACACCGGTGTCAACGCTAAATAAAATCTTAAAACTTTTCATACATATTCATTCATGAATTTCATGTTCATCTTAAGTTGTTCATACATAAATGATAATTTAAACATTTAGGGGTGTCAATTGAAGCAAAAAAGACTTAGGTAACTCAAGCAAGAAAAGGTCAATAGTTGGAACACCTTTAAGAATCCTGCCCTTAATAATTTCATTTATCACCTTCCACACGTGCGAAACAAAAATGCTAAAAAAACGCCACGTGTAGCAATCATCGCTCAGCCGTCTCCTATGTAGTAGACTCCACGTCACATCCCACTCTCTCTCTCTCCATCCACCGTTAAAACGCCCCCCCTCTCTCCTTCTTCTCCACCAAGTTCTTGGCTTTATCATCCTTTGCTTCTTTATAAATAAAAAATAAAACCCTAGAATTAAAGGACCCTCTCTTTCGTTCTTTGTTTTTGCTTTTACAGATCTCAAAAAAATTCCTTTTCTTAATCTGTTACTCTTCTCTCTCTTTCTCTGTGAGGTGAGTCTTCTTGTTATAACTCGTGCTGAATCAACTGTAGGGTTTTCTTTTCTGTTCTTCACCTGATCTCTGCTCGTGTTCTTGATTTGATTATTCGGTCTTTGTTTGGTTGCTGAAAAATGATGGGAAAGCGAAAGAAAAGTAATGAAATTGTTTACAGTTGTATCTGTGTAATCTAAGTTAATTAGTGTAGTTAAGTGGATTAAAGAAGTGTCTTTTTCTTGATAATCAAGGCTTTGGATTTTTCAATCTTGTATATTTTAAGTTAGTATTTTGAAGGGAACAATCTTTGAAGGATAATGATTTGGTTAGGATTTGAGGCATTCTTCACTTGAATTTCCTTCTTTTTTCTTGGGAATTGGGAAAGGGTTGAAGGGTTTAGAATTGAAAGAACTTCAGAAACCTGAAAGTGTTATGTTTTAAAGAAAGGTGTGATTTTTATTGTTTGATTTTTGTGTGTTGGTTGCAGCTTGGGCTTTTGAAGGTGAATCTTTGGATTTCTTATTCCGGGTAAAATTCGACAACTTAGAGAAGGTTATTATTATTTAAAAGTTGGAGGTCAGGGTCTCATGAAAATTGTTAGGGGAATGCAGAAATCCTTTCGCTGCAACGACAAGGAGCTGAGTGCGCTGGGCTGGAAGAATTCCTTCAGCCAAGGAATTGGCATCACTGCACCTAAGGCAAGAACGCGCGACAAACCAACGAGTCTTTAAGTTTTGGCCATTTTGGAGGAAGAATTGACGCACTTAGTAAATAATTGAGGACGATAAAGCTTGAAGCCAGATGACTCGTATTCTAGTTCAGCGAGGCAGTGGTTCTTCTTCGAACCAGAGCCGTGCAGGATCTTCTTCTTCGGCTGCTAGGCCAGATACACAGGGTACTAGCATCCTTCAGGCTGTTTCGATTCTGAAAGATGAGGATGTTGGTGAGGAGGTGCAAGAGCAGGTAGTGGTCGATGAATTCTTGGAGAATGGTGGTAGTCATGATAATAAAGTGGTAAAAAGTGACGAGCTTTTGATGGGAAGCACAAATGGCGACCGAAGTGACAGTTTAAATGATGAAATTATTGATAACAATAAAGTGGATAATGAGGAAGGGGTGGGATCAGGGGATTCGGTTAAAGGATTGGGTGGGCTGATTTTGGAGAGATCTCCGGTGGAGAGTGAAGGTTCAAGTTCTGATTCTCCAGCGAATTGTAGTGGAAGCCCCCCTCCGCCGCCGCCGCCTCCTGTGCCGCCTCCAAAACCTGACCTAACAAACTTGAATTCAAGGAGATTTATATCAGGAACTTCAAATTCTGTGCGAATTGGATCATCTAGGAGAGCAGTCGCCTTGCCCCTTGTTTCTTCAAGGTCTTCACCAACTGGATCACGGCCATCTTCTCCTAGGTCTCATGGTGAGAATGAGGGGTACAATAGTGCTGATGAGCAGAATCCTTGCTTTGTTTCCTCTTATGATGATTTCGTAAGTTCCCAAAGCTAAATATATAGTTGGTGAGGCATGCCTTGACTGTTGCAATTTATGGCTACGATTTTTCAAGCTTAAAAATAAGTCCACAAGCTTTGTGCAGCTGTACGTGGTAGTATTGTGTTAATTCACATGTTTCAATTACTACTATTCTGAATTGTGTTTCTAGGAGTTAAGACTTCGTAGTTGTGGTATGATCTCTAGTTGATTTATGTTCATTGGCTCAGTTGGATTTGCCTCTGTTTCCACTTGGCCAATGGTCTCATGTATGAGGAAAATATTTATTGTCATTGATGTTGTGGTTCTCTCTCTTTTTTAATGCTTAGTACAGTAGATGTTGTATTGTTGCCTTTTTGTTCATTTGATTGAGAATTGCAATCCTGATCCAATATGATTTAGCATCTCAGCAATTAAACTGCTGTTTATATCTCAAAAATTGGCATTTTGCATCTATTGCAGGAAAGAGAGCGGCAGTTTGAGATTGACATCAGACGGTCCAAAGGGTTAGAAGTCAAAAGAATGTTGGAGGATGGGAATTGTCTCTTCCGTGCTGTGACAGATCAAGTTTATGGGGATTCTGAAATGTATGATTTGGCCAGACAAATGTGCGTGGACTATATGGTAAGATTTTTATTTCTTTTTTTGGTACTTCATTGTTCAAGTTCATGGTCATTTTGTTCTGGCTTGGCATCTACTTTAATTAATCATGCATCTGGTTAAACAGTGTTGCAAGCTCTTATTCTTGTGATAATATCCAAGGCAGCCTTGTGAAAAGACACTCCAATCAATTTGTCATTTGTATTTTAGTTTTACTAGGTGTATTAATTGATAATCATGTGATAAATTCCTAGACAATGTGAGAGAACAGTGTAGAATTAGAGAGAGAGAGAGAGAGAGAAAACGAATATAATGTTGAATTTATGTATGCAATGTTGAATCATGAAGATAAATTCCTGGACGGCTTAAGAGAATAGTGTTGAGTTTCATAGGAAAGAAAGACATTGTGAATAGCACCCCTGACAACATCGTATTTTTGTTTTTGGTTCATTCAGGAAAGGGAAAGGGATCACTTTTCTCAATTCATTACTGAAGGTTTTACATCTTACTGTAAGAGGAAGAGAAGAGACAAGGTATGGATACTGTATCTAATTTCACTTTTCACTCTTTCAATATCCAGCAAGGAAAAAATGTATGGCACCTGGCATATTTTTCTTATCACATATCACCTCCTGAATATGATTTGCAAGTTAATGATATTTGTACACTTCACTTGAGAAAGCAGTTCATTTACACTTGCGTTGGGATGGTAATAAATGCGATGTGAGGATTTTTGGGACTGCTCCTACATGCCACCCCTTTGAGGATGCTGTCATTAGTCTTTAGGGGATGGAAAAGGGGGAGCGTTAAACTGAGAAATTTTTCTACATAGGAAGAGTTATTCGAGGCATCTCAACTTCAAAGGTTGCAAATGAAGGACCTATCTGTGAATTTGCTTTGCAAATTTCTTGACATGGAAGCTTTGTTTGGAGGTTTTTCTTGTGTCCTTGATAGAGTGGATGTGAACAAATACCTAGTTTGATCAATTTTTTCAACCTCTGCTTCCATTGTTTGCTGTCACCCTCTTGCTTGGGTTAATCTTTTAGGGGCATGCTAGGCAGGCAATTATACATTTGGTTCAGCATGTTTAACAACCACTGCCTTAGACTTTGTAATGTGAATGAGTGATGTGAACACTCACTTCCTTCATCTCAATTGTCAGGTGTATGGAAACAATGTGGAGATCCAAGCTTTATCAGAAATGTACAATCGACCAATCCACATTTATTCCTATAGCACCGGTATCTACTTGTGATGAATTGATGGTTTAAATTATTCAGGGTCATTTGCTATTTACTTCTTACTGATCAAAACAATTAATGTAGAACCCATCAACATTGGGAGCTACAATACAGACACACCTCCCATACAGCTAAGCTATCATCATGGTAATCATTACAACTCTCTTGTCAACCCACGCCGTTCAACAATTGGTGCAGGACTTGGTTTCAGCTGTCTTCAAGGGGTGAGTTTCTGCAACTTTTGCACCCTTTGTCTTGGCAAAATAATAATTTTTTCTCCAGTGATCATACCTCTATTAGCCTTCCCTCTTCAGTTCATTATTTTCCCTGCAAATCAAATGTTTAAGGATATGTGAAATTAAGGTGTAGGATCAAAGAACAATAGAAGTGGGCAAGGTCCATACTGATGAACTAATAGGGATAGCTTATGGGAAATTTCCACACAATCTGAGCAGCATTTTCCCCTCCACACTACTTTCACCTTTAATTTTTATTGCTGTGAAGGTTAGGAGTTGATGATTTATCAACTGTGAACTTGCATTTAAAGTATCAATATCAGCATGCCAATTGCTGGATAAGTTGAAATATAACTGGACTTATTGATTGCGGGATTGCTCTTCTTCCCTTTATTGGTAACAGGCTAGTATAGTGAAAGAGACTGATGTTGCTGACACAGGCAACAATTTTGTTTGCAGGCAAGTGTGGATAGAGATCAGGTCAAAGCTGCTATTAAAGCTCAACAAGACCAGCAGATTGATAATGCAAGTATCTTTAACATAGTTCAGCAGTATGTTTTGTGTTGATATTTGGCTAACTATGTTAGTAACCAAACTCTCCTTTATGATGCTTAATGCTGACAGGCACTTCTGGCTGAGGGGCAGTTTTACTCTGATCTTGAGGTTACTGAGAAGGAGATCGAACGCATGGTGATGGAAGCTTCTAGAGCTGAGTATCTTGCTGATAACAAGTTCAAGCCACAACTTGGCCGTAAAGGATCTTCTACTTCTGGTGCAGAACCATCATCTTCTGGCGCTAGTAAGTACTCAGACTTTACACAGGGGGGATGGTATTTCAGTGAGAACGTGTTCATGAACTGCGGGGACCAAAGAACATACGGCACACCTCTGGCTGTCATCATCATTTTGCTTTCCTCATTGCTTTATTCCATCTTTAGTCTATTTCAAGTATTGAGTTTTTGTCTTTAAGGGTGAATTGTGCTTGTATTCTGTGTTGCTGACAATGATATGAACTTGAATTTGCAGGATCATCATCGGCCAGTGAGACTACTAAGGTGGAAGGTGCAAGAGAACATGGCTTACTGGATACTGTCCTTAGCAGCAGTATGCAGATCGTGCTGTCAATGGGATTCAGTTACCTGCAAGCAATTGAGGCCTACAGCATATTTGGTGATGATGTGGATTCCATGGTTTGTTACCTCATAGAAACCAGCAGCAGCAGCAGCAGCAGACGCAAAGGCAAGGCAACTGAATGAACCACGATAGAGATTGAGAATTTTCCCGTCAGACCAAATTGACTCTCAGTGCTGGCGTTGTACTTAGATGGAGAGAAAAAAAACCTGGTCCAATTGAACACAAACTTCCAGAACTTGAGAATCTGTTTTTGAAGTTTGAATGATCAATAAAATGGACATAGTAGCTAACCTTTAAGATGGCCTTTTCTAACTAGAACGTGGAGCATGTTATGATTCGGTCTAGGCATTGAAATGTTACAGTGTCGTCTCCTGGCTGGTTAAGCAGTTAATAATAGCATTGTCGTGTGAATGTTCCGTTTGACGGTTCGAGGAGAATATTATCAGGTGAATTAGTATGTTCAAATCTACTCCTACCATCCACCATGATATTAGAGTTATTTCTTTCTATCTCATCTTAAACCTTTGAATTCAAGATTAATTCTTTGTTATGATATTTGAGTTATTTTCATCCAATGGTGGAAGATCAAAGAAGGCTTGTGTGTGAGGTAGGGTTCATGCTCTTACTCGAACGTGTTTGACATTTCAACTTATCAAAGAGAAAAAACAAGGTGTGTAGACTCTCTCTCTATGAATTCTATCAATCTGTAAGCAGTTTTATGCATGATACATGGCTGGCTCTCTCTTCTTTGTTTCTTTAAAAATCTCACTTGCTCCCTAATTCCAGTTGAATGTTTGTTATTTACGGGACACGTTTCTTGGAAGATGTAATTTATTAATTAACTAGGTTAAATATTTTAGCAAGTTAATTAAAAAAAGATTTTGTTTGAAAAAATATTAATTAAAAATCATATTTTACAAGAGAAAACAAATTGTAAGAATATTAATTAACAATCATATTTTACTAGATAAATCATGTTACGTTGGCAAGTACTTGGTGTGTGTTTTTTAAATTATCTTAGAAAAATATTTTTTTTTCTAACAAAAATAATGAGATATGCAGGTTTTTGACGTGTTGTTTTACTTAAATTTTTTTTTTTTAAATCCTGAGTGCAAATTAAAATGCTTAATAAAAAAAATCCTGAGTGCAAATTAAAATGCTTAATTGTATATCTAATTAAATAAATAAATAATTAATTAATTAATTAAAAATAAAATGAAAAAAATCATGTAAACTAAGATATTTATTTAGTTATGTTTGTTGAATTTATTTATTGAAATTCATTATTTTATTCAATGAAACGATGATATATATATATATATATATTAAGAATATTATATATAAAAATATTTTTTATATTAGAAATAAAATTTATTTATACAAAAAATTAAAAAGAAAGTAATGGAAGAGCAGAATATTTTTATAAAAAACAATACACATAAAGTAATTTGACAGGAAGATCCAATTCAAAAAAGGCTAAATAAGCCATACAAAAATATTATAATTAAAAAAAAATCTAGATATGCATGATATCATACTAAAAGTACAAAGCGTGTTTCCGCTTTGCGTGTTATAATCATAAATAGGACTCCGTTGTTTTGATGGTTCTTGCAATATAGACTTCGGAATTATTCTCACTTGCTATATTCTATGTTAAAGTATTTTTTGGTTTAAAAATATATTAAAATAATATATTTTTATTTTTTTCAAAAATATTTTTATATCAGCAAATAAAAAATAAAAAAATAATTCAAAATTTTTCAGAAAAATAATCCGAAGGTTGAAGAAGAAAAACAATTAATTCAAGGCTAGGCCAACTGCGAAAGATGAGAAAGATGACCCAGACAGCAAGGAAAAAAACGTTTCTTGGAATATCTTTTCCATTTGTTTTTTAAGCTTGTCTGCCTCTAATTTCCTCTGTTAACGGACACCAGGAAGGTGGGAGGTCGAGGTCTATTCATAAATTATTATTGTTATTATTATTATTAGAAGTAATTTTCAAGCAAGAAATATATATATATATATATATATATATATGGGCAACGAACCTTCTATTATAATAAGTTGAATGGCAAGCTGATGAATTAATATATTTCTTGCTTGTAAATTACTTCTTCGCTGCTGCTCCTATATATATATATATATATGTGTGTGTGTGTGTGTGTGTGTTTGGAAACGTGGCTGAAATGTATTTAAATTATATTATTTTAAATTATTTTTTATTAAAAAATATATTTTTTATATTTTTAGATTATTTTAATATATGAATCTCAAAAATAATTTTTAAAAAATAAAAAAATATAATATATTTATAAATAAAAATATTTTAAATTACAATCGTTATTATAATTTTAAATAAGTCTTGGCAGTTGAGAATTAATATGTAGCTTTATAAATAATTTTTTTTAATTGCTCTTTTTTTTCATTTCTCTATTATATATTTTTTTTTTCATATTTTTATTAACACTTATTCAAATTATTTTTAAATCGGTAAAATTAATTAGATTATATTAAAAAAAATTACACAATTTAATTTTAAATTTCAGTAAGGAGTTTTTTTAGTCAACTTTATTTTTTTATTTAATTTTATCATTAAGTTTTTTTTACCACTTGTCTTGGTGATCTTTAAACTAATCAAATCGGTTGAATGATAACGAAGCAACTTATATATATATATTTTAAATTTAAATTTAATATACATAAAAAGAATTTTATTTTATTGTTTTAATTTTATTCTTAATTTTAAGATGTCTTTACATTGGTTACTTCAACTTGGATGATATGGAGATAATTTCTATGGAAAAGATCACGCCGGGGTAATTTTTGAAAGGCGTACTGATCCAACGATTACAAGGAAAATAAAAAACATGAGATCATGGTATCTTTTTGAGGTAGTTTATGTTAATTAGATTAGGCAAAAACATTTTCAGTATCAGATTCTCAGGAATTGGCGTGTACTTTTCCTACTCTGCAGGCAAATTTCTTGTACTGCTCCGATGAAAGAATAAGGAAAGACTAGTTTATTTAGTCCCAGGAGCCTTGTTTCAAGTAAAGCTAGATAGTTACGGGCAGAAAACTAGTTCTCAATGCACCGTCATTTATTCAATCACATGATATAGGCAAGCTATGGAGGAACGCCCTCATGACCTAGCTAACCAGAAGATCCAAGAGCAGTTTTGTTCACAGATTGAAGCAGGCCTACAATCTTGTCATGAGGAGGCAGCAACTCCTGAACTGTAGTTAACTGGTTCCAGGCAGTGACCCAAGAAAGTATCAGTGGGTTTTTTTCTGGGTCTAGAATTTGGACACCAGCGACTTCCTCTTGAGCTTTGTGGGGGCTCAATACTGCTCCCACCAGAATGTCCAGGAGCCCTAGATTCTGGACTTCAATAACTGAGACTCCATTGGGCAAAAGTTTCTTCATTTCCTCTTCAAGTATGTTCATTTTCTCAAGAAGCTCACCGATTGCCTCCTCTTGTGCTTCCCCGCCCCTTGTGATCACCTGACTGACTCCCGCAAACAACTGCAGTCTCAAGATCTTAACATTTCATTACATAGACCAAAACACAGGAAGAAAATATAAACAAGCAACAATATTATTGTGATCTTTCACCTGTTGTTGGATAAAACTAGCCCAGAAGCGAACTTTAGCTCTTTGATAAGGATCATCAGGCAAGAGGCGAGGAGCTTGTTTCCATGTTTCATCAATATATTCCAAGATGGTGGATGACTCTGTAATTGGCTTTCCATTGTGAACAAGTGCAGGGACCTTATTGTGAACTGGATTATATTGAAGGAGAGCTTGGCTTTTGTTGCTTAAACCCCGTTACCTCAAAATTTAAAATTTTCTTTTATATATATATATTGGTTATAAATCATGTTTTAATACACTATCTTAAAATTAATTAAAAAAAATAAAAAATATTATTCTAATATATCTTAACATAAAAAACATTTTAAAAACAACCATAAGCATAATCCACTCACAATCAATATAACACTCATAAGTTATGCCTTGAGCTATTAGGGCTACTTCCACTCTCTTAACATAAGTGCTAGCCCACAGTCCATATCGCTTCACTTTCTGTTCCTCTTCTATCTCTCCCGCTCTCTCTGCTCAGTTATTGTTTCTTCGTGCTTGTGAAACCTTAGTATGCTAAAACAACAGTGGTATCTAGCTTTTCTTTATTTATTCAATTTTCTTTTTTCCTTGTGAAATAAGCTATATGTACGGCTTTGACTTTCATTGTTATTTACATCATCCAGTATGCTTGTGGATATGCTGCGAATAAAAAGATAATTTATATCCGTTGCATTGTGAGGTGACCTTTTTGGAATTATGCCATATCCTTGTGAAGGTCTTGAAAGCCAGAATTTTTGAGTCCATGCTCTTGCTGATGTCCTTGGTTCCTGTTGGGGGAAATCCTGTGTTAGCTCAAACTACAAGGGCTCTTAACCAAATCCTTCAAACGCAGTGATCTGGTTCATATCGCTGGGTATCTCAGCAATATTATGTAAAGCATGTTCCTCAGGCCATTGGCAACCATCAAAGAACATACTGTCAGAACCACATGAGTGATACGAAGGCGAGGCTAAACATGGAGATAAAAACTGGAGTTGATATTCTCCAAAACTGTATTCCATGCCAAAATGTTATGACTTAATTTCACCACTGTACACTTTGAGTTCCGCTGACTCGCGAAAAATAGACACATCTTGGCTAAAACTAAAAAGCAATAAAGATACATGTGTAGGTATAATACATTCAAAGCATCATACCAAGGGAAAAGAAACGTAACTCAAAACCCGATGATTTTCCTATTCAAATGATCCCCTGAGAAACCTCCATGTCCTTCGTGATTGTGATCATGAAACATAAGCGTCAGGATTCCTACCATGCATAGAACTGAACCAACAAGAAGTTTGTCATATCGCTCAACCCAATGAAACTTGAGCTGGCTGGCACCGTAGAATGATAGAGCCACAAGTGATGTCATCACAGTTACAGTGCTGCCAATGAAAAATGAGAGTTTGAATGTAAAATGACTGAGTTTGGATCGATCTTGATAATGGTCAAAGAATAACAAACCTAAACCTACAGTGCTGACAATTGGGTAACAGTACAGCCACAAAAATTTAGCTCTTTTATTAATCAAATATGAGCCTTTCTACACAGATTAAACAAGTTGAGGGGGGGTAATTTTCACATTCCTTACCAGGGTTTTTTTTTTTTTGGTCAAACAAATATATATATCGAGCACTGAACAACCAAAATCGAAAACCCACTAAAATTGCTTGTTAAACAGGAAATCCAGTAAACCACAAGTTCAAGTACCTGCTTCTAATGAATGGACCAGCTCAACTAATAACTTTAGTGCCCAAGCCTGTTTTAATCTCAATAAGTCATTTGAATATGATTTCAATTAGCAGGGTTGGTTTCTGGGACTCTTCATGAAATAAATACATGGAGCGGTAAATAAAACCAAGTGAGAACTTATACGGCACCAGATAGCGGATGATTGGACATTTATACCACTGAAAGTCACAAAAAGAAAAGCGAGCAACTATCAAACCTGTACATGTTCGTTTTAATTGTTCTGGACACAATTATAAAATTAGAAAGCATGCGAGCAGGGTGGACATGTTACTGATACCTGAATAGCAGCACAATGATGGCAAGCACCATCATGGAGGATGAACTACCAACAGCAAGAAAAACAGGAAGCGTGGTTGCGCAAGGAGATAATGCAGGAACAAGAATGAGCCCAACGACAGCCATTTTCTCCATGGGCTGGTTATGAGAATGACTATGCCCTCCCTTACCAGACAGAAATAGTATAACATAACAACCACCAAGAACTATAAGCAAAAGTGAAGCAAGTTTGTGAACTGTTTCTTCACCAGCGATAGTATTTGCCATGGTGATTGCTGTTATACCAAGAAGTGAAGTGGATAGCACATGCAAAACTGCCCCAAATGCAGCTGCAAAGAGAAACGAAAACCAACGATAACTAATATTGTAACATGATCCATCATAAGCCTAAGAAGCATGACTTTTTGAGATTTCTACACAAATCTCAATATAGTATGGTAACAATATCGTTGATCCCTAAACATCAGCATGACCAATTGGAGAACCAAGTTTTCAAACATAGTTTGGCAATGCGTTTGTAGGTGCTTTATCAGCCTTAAAGGCATCCATTTTTTAAGTGCTCTTCAATGATTTTGATACCAAAACGTAAAAAGTCGCCAAAAAAACCCATCAATACTATACTTTCAAGCACTTACAAATGCATTATCAAACACGCTCTTAACGTCCACCCAATTAGACAAATAGACTCAAACTTTTAAACCATCCAGCTTAAAAACACATCAGAAAACACCAACAAAGTTAAATACTAGTGGATCAAGCTAATCAACTTAGCAAATTTACATCACATTTCAATGCAAAGATTCCATTCCAAGCATTGAACATGCAATGCCGCAACAAATTGCTAAAGTCTCAATCTTTTTCTTCATATGTTCTTCAAAATCACAAATTTTTTATTTTCTTTCAAGAATACAACGAAAAGGACCCGGATCTGAACCGAAATGTAAATCAAGAGCGAGGGAGAGAGGACATACTGACGAGGAGAGTTCTAGAAAGAGTCCATTTTTGGGCACGCCCAACAATGGAGAAAGGAAGCCAATGTGTTGGAATAAAAGAATGGAGAAGAGAAACTGTGGCGATTCCTCCAATCGTTGAAAGATCTTCTGCACTGAAGCTCTCCATTTTTCACTGGTTTAGTATGATTGCACAAATGGATTCTCCTTTTTTTTTTTACCAATCAATGATCTTACATTCACTTAACAGTAAGTTTTGATCAGTGATGAAGGTGGTGGTGGCGGAGATGGGGGAGAATGGTGAAGGTGGGATTTGCGTTGCTGGAAGATATGGGAAACGTAAGATCCAAGAGAAAGGAAAATAAAAGGGATTTGATGTTTGCTTTTTACCAAAAAAACAGACGAGTGTTGTAGTTAATAAATAATTGTGTATAATTATCTAAAATTCTAATGGTGATGGGGAAACATAAGAAAATTTGTTGAACCAGCCAGAGGAGACTACATTTGTTTCCCTGCTCTGTCGCGGATCATGTAAAAAAAATACAAAAGACAAATACTAGAGCGAAAAAAATTTAATTCCTAGTTATTGGTTTAGTTGATAATTTGAATAATATAAAAGATAAAAATTAAGCTTATAAGAAAGGAAAAACTTGAGGATGAAATTTTAAAAAAAAATTAAAAATGATCACAAATAAAATAAATAGCATTTTAAAAAATAAGGATTAAATTTGAAAAATTATAAAATTATAAGAGGTAAAATTAAAAAATATTTGTAATTTGATAAATTATTTATACATTAAAAAAATAGTAGGGGACAAATTAAAAGACATTGTTAGGGTAAATAAAGGGAAAACCACAAAAAAAAAATACATCTAAAAAGAAAAAATAAGAAAACATTAGCTTGAAAAAAAAAATACAAACTCGAGTGAACCTTCTAAATTTAATCTAATGATCCGTGAAATTTTAAACTCGAATTCAATTGAAAAGTTTAATTACCAACAAATTATTTTTTAAGAATGAAATCAATGAAAAATATTAATAAAAAAATTGTAAAAAAATAAATAATAATAGGAATAAAATTTGATTAAAAAAAACAAGGAAAATAAAATTTGAAAAAAATATGTGTAAAAAGGTCCCAAACAAGTAAATAACAATTAAAAAAATGATAATTAAATTTAAAAGATTGAAAGAATCATAGGGGCTAAAGTTGAAAAAAATTAGTAATTTAATAGAGATTATTTATATGTTAAAAATGGTGAGGGTAAACTTGAATATAAAAAAAGTATAATGTTATTGCTTAATTTAACATAAAATTAATAATAATTAAAATGATAATGACCAAATATGAAGGAAAAATAAATTGAAGGGTCTGATTTGAACTTTTCCAGAAGCCAATGTAACAATTAAGGAAGACAGAGAGAAGAAGGGGGGAAAAATAATCGCCAGCACCAAACTAGAGGCGTTTCTAGCACGTTCTAGCACACTTATTGTGTCATCATGTCGAGAATACTGAGATCTTCCACATGCCTTTTTTTAAAGTAGTATTTAGTGGTTAGATAGCTTCATATACTCGCCTAAATAACACGAGAGCCATTTTTACACCTTATCACATGCACATATGCAAATAGTCCAGAAGCCAATGTAACAATTAAGGAAGACGGAGAGAAGAAGGGGGGAAAAATGATCGCCAGCACCAAACTAGAGGAGTTTCTAGCACACTTATTGTGTCATCATGTTGAGAATACCGAGATCTTCCACATGCCTTTTTCTAAAGTGGTATTTAGTGGTTAGATAGCTTCACATACTCGCCTAAATAACACGAGCCTAAATAATACGAGGGTTATTTTTACACCTTATCACGTGCACACATGCAAATAGATTTTTTAATAAATAATATTTTTTTATTTATAATTTTTTGAAAAAAAAATAATTGTATAAAAAAATAAAATGACAAATATAACCCTATATAACATGTTAAAGATAACTGTGCTAGGGTGAAAAAACAACATTGCACTCAATGCCGGGTTTTTTTTCAAGAGTAAATTCATAATTACACTACTATAATAAATGGTGTTTTTGAGTCTCGTCTCGTTCCATATAATTTCATGAGGAGATTTAGTTTTTTTATGCTAATATATAATTTAGAGTCTGAGTTTATACCCTTTTTTTAAAAAAAATAGCTTGAAAACGTGCATGAGTTTTATTTTTTCAACCTCT